TTTTTTTTGAAAAGAGTTAAAAGTTGTTGTGACTGCACCTATTAAAAGATGCAGTTCGGGAGGCACGACTATAACATATAAATTATTTTTGTTGGCATTGCATCATGTGCAGGGATGGGTAGAGCTATGTGGTTGTAGGCCATATAATATATTGTAGCGAGGACGGCTCTGGATCTCGGAATGATGACTCATCGCCGATGAGTCATCGCCGGTGACTCAGCGCTCGAATAATCGAGAGTGTGGAGCTCGCTGGAATGTTCCAGAAGACATAGGCGCTGAATATATAAGAAACGACGCATCACAGAGCAGTCAGTTGAGATTTGGTACTCGCGAAGAAATAAATAAATATAAGTGCAAATAAATAGACTCTTGAACAGTAGTGATATATAAATAATTAGTAGTTAAGTGTTTAGTTAGTTTTATAGTGTTTTAAGTGTAGTTAAGTTATTAAATAAATAGTTTAGTTCGTTAATTAACCAGTGCGTGTTTTAATTCACACTACGAACAGTTAAAAACGTTACAATATTAAGAATTTTTAAATCGCAGGATAAGAAAAAAATATCCCTCAAAGAATTTAAATTCAAAATGTTCCAAATCATTTTTAAATTGTAATAATTTTCTTCTACTGCAGGAGCTATGGCTATTATAAAAAGCTTTTTAACACCTGTTTCTAAAAATTGTTTTTTTTCATTTGTATCTTTATTTTTAATGCAATACAGGGAAATACTAAACTTTAAAAATCCCTGGCCCCCGTCTATTCCTAATTTAATATTAAAGGGTGTAACATAATTTCTATATTTCGCAGTAAAATTTATAAACTCTTGAACATCTGTGCAATACACTAAACTTCTTTTTTTCCATAAACTTTCATTGCCACTTTTAAAAAATAATAATTCTTTAACTTTAAAAAAATTTTGTAATTTGTTTTTGTTTTTCTTATGTTTACTAAAATATTTGGTTCAATGGAATTTTTGCCATTGGTTTCTCTTATTGTTGTTAATAATTTTTCTAATTGTCTATTACTTAAATTTAACCGAGTCTGTATCCTTAAAATAGTCTTTTTTTGAATATTTAGATTTTTCTGTTCCTTATTATAATTTGCAGATTTAATTCCTAAATTTTTACTTAAATTCAAAATATTTTGTTTTTTTCTTGCTTTGGTGCACAAATGTTCCCTTCCTCTATAAAGTATACTAAAACAATGCTCGCATTGTATCTTTTTTCTTTGACTCTTAATATTTTTTATTATTTTTAAATTAGCATTGTTTTTTAAATGTTTATGCTTTTCTACTTTTAAAACGTATTCACTGGCAGTGGTACACAATAAACATTTGCATGGGCCAATATTATGTCTTAATTCATGTAGTGTATAAACTGAATAATTAAAAAAAGATATATTTACATCCTCTCCTTTTTTTTTCTTATATAAAATATTTTTACACTTGGAACAAAGTGATTTTGGAAATTTTTTATCATTTGGGTTAAAGTCAATAATTTCTTCCTTTAAAAACGAATAAAGCGTCGCTGGGATTAATATTAGACTTGAATTTTTTTTAAAACAAACAACACACAATAAATATCGATTTTTTTCATGAATTTCTTCGTAACTTTTACTACAATTTTTCATTTTTGTTTATAAAAAACACTTTACAAAACTAAATAAAAATTATAGAATACGTATACTGAAAATGACAATTCAAACGTCAAATAAATTTTTAATAGATCTAAGTTTCATGGCAACCTTTAAGGATATATTAATTAAGCCTTAATTATTAAGGGAACATAAATGTATACGTCAAAGGTTAGATTAAAAGTTTGAACGTTTATTGCAACATGTTTGTTAACAAAACAGTAAAATATATAAAAAAGATTGTAAAAGCCTTTTTTTTAGTTATGCAAATATTAAATATTTAAATTAAATCGCTAGTTTTAATTAGATAATTGAAAGAGTGCATAATATTTTTAATAAACAGCCAATTAAAACAATTCCAACCGTCAAATTTTTTTTATTTTGCTCTTAAAATTTTAGTTATAACCTAATTAACAAGAATATAAAAAAAATTAGGTTTCACAGAAAGTCCAAAAATCACCTCTCAGAACAGCACCGTGTATTTCTTTAGGTGTGTGTTGGTGTGAAGCAAAGTATTTGGTAACAGAACGTTCATCAAATTTTCTTTTTTTAAAGTCAAAAGAATTTAGCTGTCTTTTTTTGCCGGTTTAATCAGCAGGATATGAAATATGTCCATGGATTTATCATATTAGTCGATTATTTATAAGTGATCATGGTTGCCTTTTGCTAATTCTGAAACGTCAGTTTCGAGTGACAGTCAGTCTTAACATACAATCGCATCTTGTTTTTGTGTATTATTAACGCTTAATAATAAAATTTGGTACCTAAGACATTAATATTAAATTTTATATATACATATATGTTTATTTAAATAACTTGCTTCTTTATATGTAGAAATGCCATCAACGACTAATAAGGATTTGTATGAACTTATTAAAACTGTTAGTTACAAAGAAAAACACAACAAACTTTTAAAGTACCTAACCGAAAACCGGTTTTGCTCTAAAATCAACTTTTAAATATAATTTTAACATCGATATAGGGTTTTTTAGGCCAAGTCACTTTAGTAGTCGATAGAAATAAAGCTAAAGATGCAAAATTGACAAAGAAAAGATGTACCGAAAAAAATGGTTATGTGATTTTGCTCGAATGTCCCTTAATTGTTATTATTTTTTTATTTTTTCTATTTTTAGCTTGGGTAATATTGCGTAATTTATTTGTTTATTAATTTATATTTTTAGAGAATGGAAGTTCAACAAAACCGAACTCTTCCAAATTGTGTATAAAAATTTAATGAATTTTTGTACATAATTAAAACATTTTATTAATAGTAAATTTATGCTAAAATATTATTAATAATTATTAATAATATTTAAGCATAAATTTACTACCACATAAACCTTAAAATAGCTTAAAATAATGTGTCCCTATAATTTTGTCCGCCATTTTTGAAATTCCTCCCACTGTGCGGCTGGTGGTTTTGGGTTTACCCATGAAAAATGATTCTACATTTTGGAACAGATTAAAATACTTTATCTTTACTAACTGCCTTTTTATTTCCGATAGGCTCATTATATTCAGATTCAGAGAAGAAATTGTATTTTCAAGGAAAGTTGGTTTCCACTTCTTGGTACGCACTAGAAGGAACGTTAAAGTAGACAAAATGGAGGATGGTTTCTTTTACTATTTTGGCTTAAAACGGTGGTTTTCAATCGAAAAAATAAAGAGCATGTATACATAACAATAATAATTAACAATAATAATAATAATTAACAATATTGTTGAAGATGAAATACGAATTTCTTTTAATATCGATGGATTAGATTTAAGGAAAAGTAGTAGAAAAACAGCATGGCCTCTTCTTTGCCGAATATTGAACGTGCCTGATATTTTAATATTCGTTTCTCAAATTTATGTTGGCCCGCATAAGCCGTCAGATTGTCAAAAAATTTTACAGCGTTTTGTAGAAGAATGCAATGAGCTAATACGTAATGGACTTGAATTAGGCGATCGAATGTTTGCTTTCAGAATTAATCATGGAATTTTCGATGCTCCTGCGAAGAGTTTCGTTCTGAACATAAAAGCCCACAACGAGTTCGAATCCTGTTTGCGATGTCATGTCAAGGGATACAAATCAATGAATCGGACAACATTTCACGTCAGTGAAAGAATGTTGACCAATTGTAAACTAAGAAATGCTGCAAAATTTAGGCAGGACAAATATCGTCACCTGAGAATTATAGTGTTCTATCTGCATTTTCTTTTTTTTTATTGAGGTTAGTCTTGTTTTAAGTATTAAAGATGCATATTGTTCTATCTATATATAATTGGGGTAGAAATTGTACAGTTTAAGCCTTAAACTTTACAATTTCTACCCCAATTATATATAGATAGATCAATATCATCTTTAAGACTTAAAACAAGACTAACCTGAATAAAAAAAAGAAAATGTAGATAGAACACTATAATTTTTAGGTGACGATATGTAATTACAGAAAGGACACAGTCCTTTATCAGATTTGATTACAGTTGATCCAATCAATGGAACCGTGTATGACTACATCCACCAAGTTTGCCTTGGGATAATGAAAAATCTTTTGAAATTGTGGTTAAACTTAAAGGACAAAAAGTACCCAAACAAAAAATTGTACACTCTCAGCTATTTAAATGTGTTATTTGTTGATACAAGTCTAAAATATATTCATAAATTATGCCCCTATGAGTTTCCAAGGAAATGTCGACCAATTATAAGTATACTGATGTTGCTTTTTGGAAAGCGACGGAATTCCGCATGTTTCTCCTATATGTCGGACCTGTTGTTTTACGTGGACGGCTTAATGAAGAACTTTATAAGCACTTTTTATTGCTACATTTTTCGATTCGATTTTTGTGTGATCCCAATGCAAACTTTGACATCGTAGATACCATTCATACGTATCTAATAAGATTTATCATAGGACACGCTTCAATATATGGCAAGCATTCGATTGCCTACAATGTGCATAGCTTATTGCACGTTTGTACGGATATTCGTAATTTTGGCAATCTCGATAACTATAGCGCATTTCCATTTAAAAATCATTTGTTTCAAATTCATTATTATGAGTTTTTTATTAAATGTAAATTATGTAATAATGTAATGTGTCGAGAATCTTCCTCACATAATCACTTTATCCACAGCATTTTCATTTTTACGTCGATGTCGACAATAGCATCGACTGACGACAACGACATAGACAACTGCCTTCAATTGCCGACATCAACATTTGCGTCCACATTCGCGTCGACTGACGACGTCAACATTTGCGTCGACTGACGATGAAAATGCTGGTCCGTAAAGTGACCGATGTTGATTCTCGACATTTTCATCAACATTTACCCCGACATGGTTTGTAGGGTGTGCATACAAAAATTTCGTAATAGATCTTGGTCAAAATAGCACAGTCAAAGTCTTCAGAAATCCCTTTGCCGAATTTACCGATTCGAAACCTGAAGTTTTGTCGTCAATTGTACTTTGAAAAACTAACATTAAGTTGTCCCATTCAGTGGCAACCAAATTTAGAATTTTGAAACGGGTATACCAGCGCGTTTCGACAGAACGTGGTATTCTTTTTCCGACTATTTTATCAAGAACAAAGGCGCCCTTTGGTGAGTTATGAAAATAGGTTGGTATATCTAACAATGTACAAAAAGAAATTCGACTTTTATCGATTTGTTTATTGCCTTGCTGCAGCACAAGGTTTAACCTATGTGCACAGCAATGGGTAAACAAAGCCAAGGGAGCAGAATATTTAATCCTTGCCTGAAGTCCATTTAACTCGCCAGACATAACACTGGCCCCGTCATAACACTGAGCCACTAATCTTTCCCTAAAATTATATGGCTCCAAAACATTTTCTAACAAATTATAAAGAGCATCTGCAGTTCGATTTTCGCTCACATCGAAGAAACCTTTATTGACGTATCGAATAGTTATGGCACATTGGGAACGCTCTGTTATAACTGTTGTATCATCTGCCATTACACCGAAAAAAAAACATTCTTTATCATTAACTTTATTTTTAATAAAATCTGTCAAATAGGTATTCATGAATACAAAAAATTAGGTCATTTTGTATTGTTTTAGACTGCCCTGTAAAAATATTACTAAATTTTTCGCAGTAGGGCAAGGTCTGGATTACGTTTAATTAGGCATTTAAAAACCTCTTTAAAATTGCCGCGATTTGACGACTTTCATCATGTCCCCGAAACGGCAGTTCTTGTTTCTCTAACGCAAGTGTGACATCTATTAAATAACTAATTAATAATCTATTTTTACGGACATTTCGAATAAAATTAGTTTTTCTTACTACCTCGACTCAAAATACCTTGTTTCGTCCCCGATTTCACGGCAGAAAGTTTACGTTTCTTGCATTGGTCAAGCTATACGCGCACACTCTAATAGCGGGAGTAAAATTTTTTTAGTCGTGTGCTTAAAATTCAAATTTCGTACTGCCAACATGAGAAACACAAAAATATGACAGTTTTAAACCATAATTTTGCAATTATAACAACAAATAAACAATTTATGTTTTTACTTTTTTACTTTTTATGTTGTTTTAAGTGTTTAATGGTACTTTTATTTGTTATAAAGTAGTAATTTGTTAATTAAAATACAACCTTTTATTTTTACTGTATTGGCACCGCTGAATTACCATGACAACGCTACAGTTTGATTGATTTTGAATGTAAACGTCAGAATTAAATTAAACGTCAGATTTTAATTTTGACACAAGTTTTTTTATATACATTTAATTTTTTCCCGTATTTTCTGCGGGGTAGCAAGAAAAATAGTATACACTACACGGGCAGAAAGTGTGAGAGCCTGAATTGCGCGAAAGTTTTATTTCCTCCCGCTACCATGACAACGCTACAGTTTGATTGATTTTGAATGTAAACGTCAGAATTAAATTAAACGTCAGATTTTAATTTTGACACAAGTTTTTTTATACACATTTAATTTTTTCCCGTATTTTCTGCCGGGTAGCAAGAAAAATAGTATACACTACACGGGCAGAAAGTGTGAGAGCCCTGAACTGCAGTGCAGGAATCTCACACTTTCTGCCCTTGTAGTGTAATATACTATTAAACGGGCGTTTTCCCTTAACGCATCCTGAATGGTCGCCCTATTTTGTTCTAACCGCCACAAAGTTTTTTATGTGCTCTTTAGAAGCCTCGTGCATTTTGGTACTACGAGAAATTTTTTTTAAGTCTGTAAAACCATCTTTTGAGCCCCAGGAATTGTTTGCTTTACCCAATAAAATACACGGCCAGCAATACAAACTTTGTTTATATGAAGTTTGAAATGATCGCGAACATTCCCGACCCACCCTCTTTTCGCTAAAAACTGCCGTTATTTTTGGCGTTGGTCGACTCTCCAAAATTTGACGTTTTTCCACTTCAGGTCGTCTCACCGTGAGACTCTCACGAAAGGGGTTTCAAGCAAAGACAAAACAATATCGTGAGAGGGATTCATTTTTATCTATTACCAATAATTATTTTTAGATTAATAAAGGCACAACCGCAAAACAACAAAGACTAAACAATTTTATTAAACGAAACGAAAAAGAAACCTTGGAAATACTGTATTAATAAAATAAAAAAAAAACAAATCGGCTTACTTACTTGATGTAAGGGCTTTTGCCTTACCTTACCTTCTTTCTGCTTTCAGGAAACACAGCAATAAGTTTATTAACTCGCAAAACGAAAACCCGCCTCGAAAATTAAAATCACAAATAGGTTAATAAACACAACCGGCACGAGGTGCGCGAACACTATACGGTTGCGTGTTCAATGCGCCGGGCACAGAACAGAGCGGTTGGGGTAGACAATAAAACGTTGTCAAGTTTCAGATAGGCACCTATGAAATCGGAAAATGGATTATAATAATCCATTGTTCGATGGCATATAATTAAAGAATTAACACCCAGTAACAAACAATAAATAAAGATTACTACAATAATTTTAGTATAGTAATCTTTATTTGTTTTTTGTTATTGGGTCTTAATTATATAATAATATGTCGTAGAACAATGGATTCATTTATCAATCATTTCTGACTTATTTTTTTATATTTTCAAAAAAGAAACATTTAAATAATGAGTTTCCTTGTTCAAAATCAAAGCGAGCATTTGGCAACATGCAAGTTACTGTTAAAAATAATAATGTACAAGCCCAACTTTGTGGGCCTCAATGTCTACAAAAATTCGCGTTTTATCCCCGCCTTGCAGGGGTGCCTGCGGCACCGTGCAGCGGTGGGGAGCATTATGTTGTATCGGCAATGTGTGACGTATATGAAGCGCAAATTTATGGGATTACTATTTCCCTATTATGCGGTCGGGCAATGATTTAAGCGTTTAGAATTAAAGTTGGAAGGGGTGCGCGCTAAATTTAAAGGATAACTTTAATGGTTATTCTATGTTTTGATACTTTTAATGACTGGAATTTAGTTTTAAAACGTTTTATATTTAAATAAGTAATGTATCGAAAATTTCAAATTATATTATAGGTACCTAATTTTAACATGAGGCCCGGCCTTATACGACGAGCCGCCACTGCAAAGAACACCAAAGAACAAGGTGTTCTTTGTTATTAAGCATTAGGCAGGGTTGTTTTGCAATAAATTGGAGACAGTGTTGACAATTGTGTTTTCTGTTTGTGCCAAAAAATCAAAAATTTAAATCATCTTTTTTTATTATTAAGGAATTTAAACTGTTCTGCAAAAAAAATTAGTATCTGTAATTTTTTTAAAAAACTTTTTATATTTTTAGGTCCAAGATCCAGTGGTGTCAAAACTTTTCAGCAGTTCAGAGGAAGGTCAAAAAGTGACAAGAAACAATGGAGACAAATTTTTAGCTGTGTTTAGAAGAATAAGCGACCCTTATGAATAAAAGTATGTAAATTAAACACTTTTTAATTACTTGTTTTTATTCTTACAGTGACATTTAGCAGTACAAACTGAATGTCTGGTAACATAGGTTTCTATTAAATCAAAGCAATCTTCAAGAGTTGATGCATTTTCGATATTGTTTTCCTGTTTTATTATGTCATTAAGCATGTTTTCAAATGTTGTTGCAGTTTCTGAAATGTTGGGTTTTTGAAACAGTTTTATGGCATCTTGCATTCTAAGTTCTTTTAATTCGTTTGAAGATGGACATATAGTTTTAAATTTTTTGTAATTGTTAAAAATTGGGGGGTTTTGCTTTGATGATATTTTTAGTAACCCTTGGAAAAGTCTGCTAAATATAACATTACTAGAATAATTTTATTTATGGTAAAGTTTGATGATTTTATTAATATTTTTTTACCCTATTAATAACTCAGCAGTATTCTTAAACAACTGACTTTTTATCTCAAAATTTTGAATTTCAGCAGAAGTTTTTGACTCCCTTTCGAACTCCAACATTTCGGTAAAATTATTGCCGTATCTGCTATCTATAATGGAATTAACAGCATTGTTAATATCAACATTCAAATGGGTCTGGTTCACATATTTTAACTGCGTATCAATATCTAAATAAGAATCTTTGTCCTTTGAACCAATAGTATATACAGCTATTTGCAAAGTTAGGTAGTGTGGTGATACCCCTTTCCAGTTTTCAAATTCTGTGAGGGACATATTGTTATGATCCTAAAAATATTATGTTAAAAAATGTTGGTCAAAGTCCAGAGCATTTGGCAAAATTAATTTTTATGATGGTATTGAAAGTTTTGTTGTTCTAGTTTTAAAAAATATAAGGTTCAAAATAATCTTTAACAGGTTTTGCAAAAAAGCTAAAATCAAATATTAAAAAAATGCCCTCCAAGGTTTTTTATCACCGATTCTTTGGCAGAGCCATTTTCCAGTCTTTGTAGATATGTTTTCATATTGCGATCAAATAGGTATTTTTCACACATATTTGTGACTTTACAATTTATTATGAAGTCTGCAAGAACAGGTTGCCCCAGTGATTTTATAGTTATTATTACATTTTGTGACTGTTTTGGCTTTAAATATCCATAGCCGTTTGATGTAGCTGTAATATCTATTATATTTGCCAAAATCTCACTTAAAAACGATATTTTTTTAATTTTATTTTTGAATAGCTTTAACCTGGTTACCTCTCAAATTCATAGTAAAAAACTACTTCCTTAGAACTATTCGTGATTAAAATCATTTTTTGAACATAATTCCAAGCAGGAAAAACTTCTAATTTTATAAAATCCATTGAAAGACATATTTTGTTATTAACTGGGTCTCGTAGGGTTAAATTTGAGAACATTTCGGTATCTTCTGTAATGTCAGGCTTGGTATTTGTACCTTTACCATCGATTCTTAAAACTATCGCTTCCTCTCCCATTAAACCACCTATCTGGGCCTTAAAATATAAATATGATATTTATATTATCTAAGGCCAAGGAAAGATAAAAAACCTTATATTGTTTAGCTTGAATAGGGAGAAACTTTATGAGCAGGGGAAACCTTGTTTGTCCTTGTATAACACCTTCAGGGTTTACAAGTTCCAAAACATTAAATCCTTCCTTACTGCAAATGTCGTTCAAAAGTATTGTATCAATAAAATAATTAACTTCATCATCTGTGCTATTATAAAGCCAAAATATTTGCGTGATTGCTTCAGCGTCCCCTATAAAGACATCTTTAAGAGTGACATCATAATTTCTTGTGTATGTTGATATCAAATGACTATCAAATGGCACTGTGAAAATGTGGAAGTTTATAAGGATGCTTCTGCTTTCTGACAGGTTTATGTAGAAGGATAATATGTTTTCCTGGGGCATGAGGTATTTAATGTTTAAAATACATGTGTATGTTTCCTAGAAGAATCTTAATTAATTTTTGTTTAACAATAAAATCTTATACCTTATACCGAATCTTCTTCACTTATTAAATCCATCGATAAGAGCAGTCTATGTGGACAGTTATATTGTTTAATCCAACGCGTTAGAGTAGATGTAGTTTCCAATTTACAATCACAATTTTTACTTCTTTTTATTTCCACTTCTTCCTTTGGGGCTGTTAAAGCAGTTGCTATTAAAACTATCCAGTATTCTTCTTGGGTACATGGCATTTCTGGCAGATACGAGTCCACAGTTTTGGTTTCATTTACTCTACAGCTGTCTAGATGCTGATTGATTCTACAAAGTTATAGTGACTAACATTACAAGGTCTAAAACATTATAAATAAATATTACTTGTTCATATTAAGCATGTCCCAAATCTGTCTCTTGCTGAAAAGCTTTCCAAAATTGTGTTCAACCAGTTCAGTAAACTAAAAAATTCTGTGTTAAGCAAGAACTATTGAGATAAAATATAATACCAGTATTGTAGGATATTGGCATATATAAGTCAGCTGTACCAAATTAACCACCTTCAAGTTTGCAATTTCATCCAAATTTTCATCAACCCTGTTTATGTAAGAAATCTGTATGTAATTACTACCTACACTGCTAGCTATCGTTTTTAACGTTATGGTATGTTTTTCGTTGGGGGTGAGACTCCCTTTTATAGGATCTATGGTGAAATGATCGGGAGTTGATTGATGTGTGAAAGTCCTTATTTCGTTAATGTAAATTTTGTAATGAACCGTGGCTTCACCCCAATTTAATAGGTCAAAGGTTGCATCAATGGGCAAGCCGCATTTGATAATGCCTATTTCAAAATATGATGGGTTGGCCTAAAAATATAACCCAATAGACACAATTTTATTTAGAATTTTTAACGTATTACAAATAGTGTTGAATATCTTTTATCAGTGGATACTTTAAACTCTTGCACAAAAGTATTATAAGGCAAATCTTCTTGATTATCAATTTTTAGTTCCACGGTTTCAATGAATTTAGATTTGGAACAATTCTTAGCTTTGTATTTAAAAGTAATTAAGGTATCATCATATGGATTCAAAATGCCTTCCTGTGGTATACTTTGGAAGAAGTCTTCGTTGTCATTGTTAAATTTAAATCTGAAATACATTTTTCCCAAGAACATTTGTATTTTAAACTTTATCTTTCCAAATTACTTACTGTATTTTATAAATGGTATTATTGTACATGGGAAGGGATTTTTCCGCTTGCGTGTTCATTTGCATGGGTTGATAAAAAACCAAATCATCATTTCCTATAGTTATATTTGGTATGGAACATTCGACTTTTATGTAGACTGGGATAAATTTTTCGCAGTTATCATTTAGGATTAACACCCATTGTTCAATATACGTTTTCTGCTCTTCAAAATCTGTATTAAACTGTACGGCTATGAAGATTTGTTCGGCTATGACACCAACTTGGGGTTTGAGTAAAACGTTACTAAAATTTTTTTTTGGAAATAATTTTTAATGGAGATTTTTTATTACGTGTTTTTTGGAGGTATAAATTTGAATATAACGGGAAGTTTTCCTGGGTTTTCTAGTTTGAAAGTTGTTGCAACTTTCTGTAAAGGTATGCAGGGAGGTAATGTTATTATTGAGGGAATAATGTTTAATTTGGCAAAATTAAATATATCTTCGTCCAAACAAGAGTGTCCTAGAAGAAATACAGGTAATTATAGAATTAAATTAAATAAAAATGTTGAAAGTTAATCTTTCAAAATGAACAATCTCGTTCTTCCTCTTGAGGCGAGTGGTTGAGCTACGGCCTATAGTTCGAGCGCTCCTAAGCAGTGTAATCGATACAAACGCAAGTCCTAATAACGAATCTGATAATCCGGCAAGTTATCGAAGGCAAGTGAATTAATATCAGTAAAACGGAAAACAAAAATTAAATAAACAAGAAAAAATAAATAATAGTAAGTAGTTAAAAAGTGCGGGTGGCCCCCGGTTAAGTCACAAAGTGCTATAACGTCGTAAAAGTTTGTGAGAGAGTGAGTGATTAAGGTTAGGTTACACCGATAAGCTACCTGGCTACCGGACTACCTGTATAGTCACCACAATTGGCGATTGCCAAGGAACACGCTAGGGACAGGGAAACAGAATTTCAAGTCAAATTAGTCCAGCTAAGTAATTTTCCTAATTGCATGACCTAATAACAGTACCAATTCGATTCTAATCTATAAACTAATCGTTAAAAACTTATATACGCAAACTTCGCAATCCGATTACCAAGAATGCCATCTGGCTTTAGAAAACAAACAGGTTCCTACACTGAGAAAAGTAAACTCTATTTCAAGTTTTAATTATTAACTGAACAGTTTTTGCACATTCAATACGACCAATGCGCATAATTGTTTTATTTAAAAGTCTCTAAATGTTACCTACAGTTTTTTTCATTAAACTCGTAAAGTTTTTGAATATACATTTTTATTACTACAAAAAAGTACAAGTTTTTAATTAATGCAGTTCAGACATTAAATTAATGAATAAAATCTTTAATATAAGCACTTTTGTATGTTTGTTTTTTATTTGTTTCAAAAAAATAATTTTTAATTTAACAACCCCATTTTTCTCAGTGTAGCCAACCCATAAATCAACTTAACGACACAAAATATAGATTTTATAAATAAGTAAATTGTAATTGTATGTATATGCATTTAAATATAAGCATTAACTAAGAGACCAGCCCATAAATCAAAGTTTAAAATAAACAAAAGACTAAAAAGTAAACAACATAACATCACAGAAGATAAGAAGAGCGACCCTCTCTATTAAACAACCAATGCCTGCCAATATGGCCGTATTCCAATTAATACGTACACTTCAGGGCCGGCTTTATCTATTTTGTATATTAATATTTATATTAATTTTTAATTTAAATTTGAAAAAAAGTAAGAATGCAAAGATAAATTAAATGGTAAACGGTATAAACTTTAATTTAACAATAAAATAAATAGAGAATATACAAGGTCGGTAGCCGGTACTCGGCCTGAGGAAGGCAGAGGGCACTTACGGCGGGTCGTGGCCGTCAACACTTCGGTACTGAAGACAAGATTCAGTATCTCACAGCGGAGCAAACAATTCTAAAGAGGTTACCGGAACCAGAAACAGACTCGGACAGAGACGTTCAGAAGTACACAAACAAGGACAGGTTCTAGCAGCGTACTAACACTTCTACCCCCATTCATGAATCTCAATTGAATGGGGTTATTACTAAAGCCCCGGTTGAGGAGGATTCCGGATTGTACTTAGTTTTGGGTCAGTTCAATATCCTTCAAAAACGAATATTTACCCTCCTTGTCCCGCTCTACACTAGCTTAAACTGGGCTTATAGCCCGACCCGGCGACAAAAATCCGGAGGTGGCCTTAACCATCGACACTGTCATCCACGACCTCCTAGGGTAGATCTACCAGCCGCGGCTGGATCTGAAGTTTTTACGCCGGCTAGCCGGCGTAAAAACTTCAGATCCAACAAACACAGGTAATGCTGTGCAGTGGCGGGATACGTAGGCGAACGGAAAGGGGGTAAAATAACCCTGGTAGATTAGTGTAAGGTAATGTCGATGGGGCCTGCCATACGTCCCCATACTCATACTCAAGTTAAACTTTGCAAGTGAATTTATTGATTTGTTCTTCCAAATGGATGTGAGGTAATTTTAAAACCAGTATTACATTCACGTGGAATCTGGTTTGCCTTCCCAATCAACAATTATACATATATTGTACGTCAAATGTTCGTACATGGAGGACATAAGGTTCGTAAATATTACGTACGTGCGTATCCGCAATCAAGGATTAAATCAAAATGTTTTATTGCAATATTGTGTATTTTATTTTAAAACCTATTATAAAAAATTATGATTTTAGGGATTTTGTGATAACGTGATGTACGTACTTAGTACATACAAATTAGGTCCCTGGATGTAGGAACATAATATGGACCAAAAATGTACGTTCATTAGTAGTACGTACGTACGTAGGTTCCTGGACGTAGGGACATAATATGGATGAAAAATGTATGTACATTGTATGACCATTGCTGATTGCGTTAGAACAACAGGCATACAACTAGTAAATATTTTACTATAGTAAAATATAATAAATATATGTATAATAAAACCAGGATTTTTTTATAAAAAAAACCTACCAATCACTTTAACACACTCAGTTAAAGGCAGCGTTGTACTATTAGGCACCTCATCATACCTCCAAAATACCTGACACCTTAAAGTTTTTTTGTAAACTTTATTATAATTTATAGGTTTGAAACAGCACTCAAAATTCATAGATTCCTTAGGCGGAATCGATATATTTCGTGGATTAATAGTAAAAATTTTAGAATCTAGAAATGAACCAAATAATGAATATTTGTTGTATGTAGTTAGCATTTTTATAACCTGTAAGCCATTCAACTCGTACACCATTAGACATGTGGTTTGTTAAACAAAAAGTTTCAGTGCAAAAATTATTTTCCTCTTCTTTATAAGCGACCAGGCCAAAATGTATAAAATATCTACTAAGGGAAATCGGAGGGATATACGTTTTTACTTCTTGTATATTTCTGAAAAATCCATTGTATCCTATAACATCTTTTTTGGGGAAGGGATATTTATTGTATGTTAACTCTTTTTTGCTGTAATCTGTTTCCGAGTATATTCCGAATACATTTATTATGATAGGTTTCTAAAATGTACAATATTGATATTTGTTTAAAAATTTGAGGACCTTTTATTCTTACATGATAGCAGATAAGACATGTTATCTGCATAGCATACATCCCATATTTTAAAGGTTTAAATTTAAATAAAACCTTATGTTTTCTGTGGCCTCCAATTTCACCGGAAGTGGGTTTTTGTATGTAAAAAATGTCCTGCCCTTCATCAACATCGAACTCGAATATTGCAGGAACTTCTGTTTCATTTGTAAAAACTAAGCTTTCAAGTGAACAATTAGTTCGGGATTTGTAAAAATACAGTCTTGTAGTATCTGGTGTGACAATGGGTGCTATGCAAAATCCCTTGCAAACTATTTGCACTCTGGTATGCAACTCAAACCACATGATAAACTTTTCCATGAAAGTTTGAAAAGGCACATGGGGTTGAAACTTAATTTTCACCTTTATCTTCGCCTTAGGATGCGTGTATCCGTTGTAATGATTTAAATTGAACACCTGATAAATCGGGTTTATCTTCGAATCCTTCATTATATTGTATTCGCATCTCTGCGGCACAACTCTGGGCGTATAAATTGTTGCTAATTTGTATTTTACTGTGTTGATTGCAACATTTCCGAAGTCAACGTTGTAGACACGTGCAAATAAATATGCGTCTGGTTCTGGTTTAACATTTACGGTAAAATCATCAACGCACTTGCAAAAAGTTTCGATCTTCTCCATCTTGTTTACTTTTTATGTCAATTTATTGACAGTGAAAATGGATTACTAGAATAGATTACTAGAACTATGGTCCAATGTCTTTGAATATTATTGTGGTCCAAGTAGACTTCTTGTTGCCAATGTGCAATTCTGCATCATCCCCTAATGGAGAAATTTAAAAAGAAACTACATTTTTCATGAAATAAAAGTTTTATTCTAAATTAAAGCCATAACAAAATAAACGAGGTAGATAAAAAATTTCATAAATAAATAAATTTTACATATTAACAAATAAAATGGGGATAGCACTAAAAACTATAATACTGAGTTTTGCTAAGCTACTGGAACTATCAGTGGAAAAATCCATGGGAAAATTGTTATCGTCTAAGTTGTCATCACTTTTTACTGGATTACAGAGAGTATCAATGTAAGTTTTGGTTGCGTTAGGATTACAATTGTTATTGCTACAGAGGCTAACGTTAAAACTATCGAAAAAATTGTACATATTTACAAAAAGCTCGCATTTCCACTCGTTATCATTAACGTAAATATCCTTCACGTTCGGTACTTTATTGTACAGCAATTTATAATTTAAAACGGTAAAATTGTTGTATCCAAGCCCTAAAACTACCAAGGAATTTTGTACTTCGGATTTATAATCAATTTGAAAATTACTTATACTATTATTTTCCAACCACAGAACTTTCAAGTTTTTTATATCACAGAGTTCAGTATAGTTGATGATTTCAAAATTATTATTATTCATCTCCAGGTATTCTAATGATTCCAGCCCTATAAAACCGTAGGGCTTAATGCTACTTATTTGGTTGTCGCCCAAATACAAAAATTTCAGGCTTTTCAAGCCGTTAAAGGAACTCGTTTGAATCTCCGTTAAGTTGTTGAATCTTAACTGCAAATCTATCAGACTAGACAAAGGCTTAAAGTTAAATTGTACTAAATAGTTTATGCTGTTATTGTTTACATATAAGTAGTTTAAATTTTGTAAGTTATAAAACGCCAAGTAGTGTATATCGAAAATACAATTGTTTTCCAAATACAGGATTTTTAAGCTTGTTACATATTTGAACATTTTTTCTTCAAGTTTAGTCAAGAAATTGTTACTCAAGTACAAATACCTCAAATTTTTAAGGCCTACAAAAGCGTCCGGTTGTATATAAAATATACCATTAAAATTTAGGCTTAGTATGTCCAAGTTCTCCAAATCAATAAATAAATTATTAGTAAGTATTCTTATGTTATTTTTACTTAAATCTAATTGCGTCAACTTCTTAATACTGCTTAAAGCTTTTTGGTCAATATTCTCGATACAATTCTCCTTCAAAATTAAAACTTTCAGTACTGACAACCTAACGAAAGCAAATCTCTTCAACATCCTAACATTCGCTTTATTCAGAAACAAAAAACTGATGTTGTTCCTGGGGAAATTAAAGGTGTTCTCATCCAAAATCCCCAAGGTGCAGTTCGTGCAGGTCATCCAGTGGGCTCTGTTCAATGAGATGGTGAAATTTTCGAAAAATTTCGCTGTAACATTTGCGCAAGTTATTTGTTGACCGCCCAACTGGCTCGCGTGCGCCGTACATTCCTTGTCTATCTTCAAAAATTTCGCTCCCAAGAAATTTGCTACTATCGTGATTATGACAAGCCATATTGCCATAGTTACTGAAACAAGAAAAAATGTCGTAAAAATTACAGTTACCAAAGCAAACTACAACTGTATGCACCTTGCATTAGTTGTTTGCAAAGTGCCATTACAAATTTCTTTATATTTATATCGCATATTAAGAAACACCTGGTGTATCAAATTACCTATTTAAATATATCTTTAAGCATATGAAACCATATGTGCATTAATTTAAATCTTTACATATCCTTTTGCAAAGAAATAAGTGAGTAATTTTGCAAAATATTTTTTTATGAAAAATGATTACCTAATTTTAGATTAAATTTAAAAAAAATAATTAAACTTTAAAATTCACCTGATTTTTTAAAACACTAATAAACAAACAAACAAAAACCCTTAAAACTCAAAACCAACTATAAGATTGATGTAAATTCTTATACATAAAAATATAACGGTCATCAGTTTCGTGAGGCTATTTTCTTTTATTATTGTTATTTTATTATTTGAATACCTACACTTAGAACATACCAAGCAACGAATGCTTATAATAGATCACTTTCTGTCGAAAATAAATCATTCTAAAGCAATTAAAAATGAAGTGGTCTTTAAGTTTAAAGGGTCGAGTTGTCAGAAAATAAAAATTATTACTCTATTTGACTATAAATTGGTTGTGTTGAAGGCATATTATTAATACAAACTCTTTAGAAAATGGAAAAATAGGTAAACAGACAATACATGTTTTTTTGTTTTTAATTATATACATATAATTAGAGATGCGACTTGAAAAAAACGGTCCGTTTTTTTGTTTTTTTTTTCAGGTTTTTTTTCATTGTTTTTTTTCATTGTTTTTTTTCAAATGGTTTTTGCTTTCATGTTTTAGGTTTTTTTTTTCAAGATTAGTCCCATTTGCCTAATTTTGTATGTTTCCAGTCCAGTTCCAGTTCGTGGACTAAAATTAGCCTAAATAACATTTAGTAAATGTAAATACAGTCTCGCACTTTGCACGCGCCACCACGACCGAATTGACCAATTTTGATTTGGTCCTTAAAAAAGTAACTACCTATAGTATTTTTGATTCAGTGCTTGATTTTTCAAAAAGCTACCAAAAGCACTTTTTATTCATGATTTTTCAAATTTATGTAGAGTATGGAAATTAAAAAAAAAACAGTTGCAAATTCTTGTAGAACATTTATGTATTGCTGGTCAGAACAAAAAAAGACAAAAAATTCTAATTTTTTTATTACGGTTTTCGTTATGGTTGAGCGTTGCACGTTTTTCAACTTCAAGCTTCAAATTGCTTTTTTTACGGCTCCAATACGACCATTTTTAACAAAGAAACAGCTACCCGAAAAATCACAAAAAATTTTTTTTCTATTAGTGTAGAAGTTTTACATTGCTATTGGTTTCTTATGTGGAAACTACCAAATAATAAGAAATCAGATTTTTTTAGTCTCCGTCAAAATTTTCAATAATGAAAAATGTAATATATTCTACATTTCACTTTATTATTAATATAAATTTTACTCGAAATTTCATTTTGAAAAATTACTCCATTTTTTAAGATTGATGTTATTTATTGACAGAATATGCTGTATTGCAGCGGATTTGAAAAAAAAACAAAAAAAAACCGTTTTTTTTCTAGGTTTTTTTTTCATGTTTTTTGCAGATCTGAAAAAAAACCGTTTTTTACATCTCTACATATAATGTATACATGTCCACAATTGTATTAAAAAAAACATTGTTAAATCTTGCATCCAGAAGGTTAGTATTTCCATTGTTTTCCAAAACAATGGTATTTCATATGGACTGGGTATCTAAAAGTTTGGTCTAGTATTTAGGCAAAAAAAATTGCCTTTCTATGATAATATCTCAGTTAAGGTGAACATTGCAAAAAATATAAAAATAAGTTCAAAGGGGGTAATTTTGTCTAACTGCAAGTAGGTTTTAAGATAAACAACAAGATAATTTTTGTTTCAAAATTAATTTATTTTTATTAATTTTATCAGGAAAAGCAGGAAATTTGTGAGCTAGGTAGGAATAGAAAAGTATATTTAATCTATGGTCTATGTTGATGTTCATTTGTGTTTATGCTTTACTCATTAAATAGTCGGGTATACACCACTTTGTGGATAGGATTGTCTTCGAGTATTTTAGTTTACCAAGTTTAAAATCAATACAAATTATTTTTTCTTTAAAATTATTCAAGTTTGAATGGCTCTAACTTGAAAACTAAGATTTTTTAATATTTTTTTTTTAATAAAAGCCAAGATATTTATCTATTTTTACAATTTTATAGTTATAAAAAATATTTACACATAAGTTATTTATTAATTAATTAATTAATTATTTATTAACTTTAAGTAGGGAAAAGTTTTTTCCGAGGGGAATCGAGTAATTATATACATTTTTTATGTCAAAATCTTCAGAAATAAACGATTAATACTGTAGGTACTTGTTTGGTTTTGCAATTGGATACTGGTTTTTCCATCGAATCCTTAAAAAGTTGCGATAAGTTTTTGCTGAGACTTACCTATATTAAATTATATTTACTTGAAAGACCCGGGCAGCCGAAAACGGTTTGCGATTATGGTTTTGGTTAATATTAAAATATTGTCTATTGTCCATAAAAATATGTAATTTTTTGTATTGTTAAGAAACTTGGTTTAAAAATACTGGATTGCGGCCAAGATCTATAAAATTATTTTTAATTTTATTAAAGCGTTTAAACGACTTGATTATAACCGATAATTATCGGTTCTCTATTTAATTCCAATAATAGCCAAAATATTTTTTTCGAAGTGAGAAAGCCGGGGCAAACAAAGGTATTTCGGGGCCCGGAGCAAAAAACTGTGGGGGTCCTCTTTTTTTAACAAAATTTTTTGTTGAAATCAATATAAGGCTTGAATAAAAAAATTATAACCATCAATTGAAAGCGAGTGGTCCGAAAACTGTAAAGTAAAAAAATGTTATTTTGACTTGTTATTGTTAAATAGGTTTGTAATATTTTTTTATAAAAAGAAACAGTAGGTATTATATTTCATCTAGCTTACTTATTCAGGTCATTTTCGTATTCATTTTGAAACCTTATAGGAAGTGATTTGTCAAAATTAAATTAAGCATTTCAGTACTGAAATTAAGTTCTTAACTAAATCCAAAATCGATTTCAAACCATTGTAAATTTATATAAATAATTATATAGTGGGTATATATACCCTATATATAACTATAGTTAACTGTAAAGATTTGATAATTACATCAAACATTTTTCTATGTAAATGTCCATTTTGATGCACATAAAAAGATGAAAACTTTAATTTACTAACATTAGAAACCAAAAAAATCTTAATTATCATGAACTAATAATTAAAAATGTAGGTAGGTATATTTAAGTGAACATGTTTATAAACATCAATTATTAATGATGTTTCTGTTTTATACCGACAAATAATTTTAAAATCAGCCTAATCAAAAAATTCAATTAAAAATATGTCCATCTATAAGTAGTTTCTTTATGGATTTTTAAACGATTGTTTTATCTAAGTTTTATTGGAACCTTCAAATTTAGTTTAAATTATCTGTTGCTTAAATCAAATTAACTTCTAGTTTTGGGCAATAATTGTTCTTTATATTTAGATTTCCCAACATAGAAATATTGCGACACAAGCTATTTGTTTTGGTATAACTACTTACCTATATCTCAAGAGAGAAATAGGTTTTAAAGAAACGCAATATTCGTAACCTTGAGCTCAGTGTTCCTATTTATTTATTTACGGTACGAAACATTCAATGAAGCTTTGCATTTTAAATAGAATTTTTTAATTAAAATTAAAAAATATTAAAATATATGAATAATAAAGAACTTATGTGTGACTAGTGTCAGGACCGGATTAGGCCAAAAGGGTCTGGGGCTAAACAATTTAGGGGGCCCTAAAAGTTTATTATTAAAAGATAAATGTATAAGGTGTAGTATTAATAATAGTAAATAACAAAATAAAAAATAATGCAAATAAATATACCCATTATACTCGTATGGTAGGTATGTGTTAACTTTATTTACAATAGCTATTTACATACCATAGGAGGAAAATAATGCTTTTCCTCCCGTGAATAGTTTGATGCCCGACGCGAAGCGAAGGGCATTAAATATTCAAGGGAGGAAACGCATTTTCCTCCTGAGGTATGTATATGGTTTTTTCTATTACCTTTTAACGGTTTTAAAGACATTTTAAGGGTTATTTTTACTAATCCGGTATTAATTATTATGACAAAATATTAAGTAGGTTTTGCGTCGCCGACGTTGTGTTGACAACGCTTTGTTGCTATGGTATTTTTGGTAAAACAAACATAACAGTTTTTATAAGCTGTCAGGTTATCATAAATTTGAAATTCTTCCTACGTTTTAAAAATGAGTTTTAGCGAAGAAGACCTGCCGCAAGATCTTGCTGGAGGCAAGAGTAGTTTAAATTAATCTTCTTCCTCAAAAATCGAAAAAGCGATATAAAAAGGAATGTACCTAGTCATGTGTTTTTTTTGTAACGTTGACACTGCTAAAACACTAAACTAAACAAAGAATGGTTGAACAAGCGCGGAGTAAATCTTTTTCGTACAAAATCAAATAAGGCTAGACAAGGTACAAAACTCTTGCTAATGTAAAATTGTTAAAAAAAATAGAGGGAGGAAATATTTTTTCCTCCCGGGGAGGAAATATTTTTTCCTCCCGGGGAGGAAAAGAGGCATTTTCCTCCCTCGCTCGGGGGTGGAAAATTAAGTTTTCCATTAAGGTAGTAGAAAAAATTATTTTTATTACCATTTTATTTAAGTAAATTTTGTAGTAGATCCACTAAGATATTTTGTGCCATAAGACAATTTTTAATTATTCAAATGTTCGAACACAACTAAAGTTCTTCCCAACTTATTTATTAGATTACCTAGGCACGCACTATGAAAATATAACTATTCAAAGAAAATTTTATCCAGAAATAAAACGTTTATTTTTTGCCATTCTAAAACAATTCTTTGATGGCTAGCAGTCCTTTAATGCGCGCATCGCGATATAACAATTATTGTAATCTCGAATATCTCGGAAACGGTTTATTTTATCAAAGTTTGAGAGGTACACCTTTTTAATAGTGGCCGAATGAGTAATTGAAAAATTGCATCAAATGGTATAAAAAGTTTTTTATTAAAAACCTAACCTCAAAGTTTATATGGGACAAAAAGCTTAAGCAACCCCTGTTTCTACGACACTGTCCTCACTCGAACAATTGTAATCATGTGTGAATATGTTTTTTGGTAGTAAGTGACTGTTCGCAAAATATCACCTTTCCAAATCTACCATAGTAGAAGTTATATTAAAAAAACTGATATGATAAGTAACACTTTATCACCCTGTATCTTTTAAACATACGAAATTAGGAAAAATATTTATTTAGATTTTCGTCTTATTTTGAATGCTTAATCTGCTCCTAAATTTATGCCACTAAGTTTAGGGACACCTTGTATAGGCTATAGGTTTTATAACAAGTATATAGGTACAATTATAAACTATTTAAGAATGTTTTTTTATTTATCATGTACCTAATGTTTAAAATAAATAATTTTATAAATTTGTATTTGTATTTTTATAGCTCAGAACCAAAGTATGTATAATGTATACAATTGATTATTCTTTATACATAAAGAATAATCAATTATAATAACTAACATTTTTTTCAAAAGTACCTACTCGTATTTTTTACTCGTGTTTTCACGATTACTACTGGTAACCGTAACCTCTCTTTACAAATGTACTTACGAGTAAAGTACTTACGAGTAAATATTTTAAGTACTCGAACTTAAAAGTTTACGAATACTTTTTTTAGTAGGTACTCGTGCCCAGCTCTGCATGTACTGCATGTACATCAATAATTCATAATTAGCAAAAAAGTTGATATTGATAATTATTAAAATATTTTGCAATTTGAACAATTAATGATAATTTTTTATATATTTTGAAATTTTAGATATAAATATTTCCAACTACCTAAATATTTAAAAATATATGTATGTCCACCGCCGACGCGTGGACTAGTGGTCAGTGCTGCTGACTACAAAACGAGAGGTCGTGGGTTCGAGTCCCACATTGGTATGGTTGTTTACTTGTGTTTGTCCTTTTGTATATTAGTCGTTTCTACTTAAAATTAAAATTTAGTTAGGGTCGTTTTAGTGGGTGACGAATAGCTAATATGAATTCTTAAAAATTTACTCTCGAAAACTGACATAGGCCTTGTATTTAGTATTTTTTTTAAATATGGCGTTTTTTGCTAAAAAAAAATACAGTTTATTAAGATCTACAGTGTAGATTCTACACTTTAAAACAAATCCGGATAAAATAGCACAATAAATAAAGATTTTACAGGGGTGAGTCGCAAATAAATGGGTCAAACTGTATATTCTGTCCGAAAATCATATTTGGCACTGACATATAATATCTCGACTTATAAATGGCCCCATATCTCAAAAAGCTTAGGGCCTTAAGTCTAAATCCGACCCTGTAGGTGTGTACACATGTACAAGAAAAAATAATGATAAATATAAATATTTGGTAATTAAAAATTTTTTTTTTTTTTTTTTTTTTTTGTTTTGAATGCGTTCCACCAACTTCAAATACCGACAGACAGCTGTTTCGACCTTTATTGGGTCTCATCAGTGTCGGGCAACTTGGTGTAGTGGAACACAATCAAAACAAATTACTCCCTCAGCTTATATGCTCGGTTGTTAAGTCAACAGAGGCGAGATGTAAGAACATCAGGTGATCCACACCGTCAAACGACGTGGCCTTTGCTGCAATCGAGGTGTAGGTTCAATTTTTTTTCTTATATTCTTATGAATATTACCAGTGATGGGTCAAGAAAGTTTCTTAAAGAAACTAAGAAAATTGAATGTTTAATTAAAAAATTATTGCTATACATTTTATTAGTTGTAAATAAGTTAAATGGTGTTTTTTAACATAAGTTTGACGGGTGTAGAAAATGGCAGATGGTAAAAACGACAGGTGACAGATTAATTTTATTAAGTAATTAGTAAAATTATTAAATAATTGATATTTTTATAAATAGCTAAACTTTTAACTATAACCAGCAACAATAATTTAATTTAACAAACAATTTTTAAAATATTTAATTTACATTTTTTTATTCAATATTTTAATTTAATTTTAATAATAAAAAGTACATTCTGAAAATTAATTTTTCCCTTCAAGAAATGAACAAATAATTCAAATTAAGAATCAAATTTTAAAATATTTTAATTAATTTTTTTATTCAATATACAATTTTTTTTTTAGTTATGACCTAGCTAATTAATTAAAATTAATAAAGTTGTGCTTTTATCACATTCAAAAAGAAGGTAAAGGTAGTAAGATATGTAAACAAATTAAAAAATTATAAGAAATAAGGAAAACATCCAGAGTAATTAATACGAAAAAAACATGTTGCATAAACCAGTAATTTTGAGACGCGTATAGCTTGCGGCCATACTTTTGTTTACATTAAGTACAATTTCGGACATAAACAAATTATGTTACTTACTTTGTGTGTGTTTGTTGTAGACAAAACTACAAAAACCATGCACAAAAACTACATCGTTCGACACTTATCCACGTATTAATTAAGTAAACTCGCTTTGCACACACGATTTTCGCTTTTTTCCCTTCAAACGCAGTGGTCAGAGAGGATCTAGATGCCCGTGCATTTACCTTTTTGTACGCTACAGTCAGTACAGGTACGATCGCGGTTGTGTGGGACAGCGAGCGCCCAGGTAGGTGGCTTGGCATAGCATAGACTGCTTCGATGCCCATGGCTCGCTTGACTCTTGGACTTTTTAATTGGACGCCATCGGAGTCGTGGGGGCAAAGAAACCCTTTCCTGTGCATTATTTCGTGCAGCGTTTTCCGTCCTTGCTCAGGAAGGAAGTGCTTTGTATCATTATTTCGCGAAACCTTATGATTTTGTTCATTGTAGGTACTTGCAAAATTGGCTAATAGCGGTTTTGTGCATTACTGGATGTAATAACATTTTGATGTGCTTTATTTTACGGTTGAAGTAGTATTAAATAATAATAATAACAGTAGGTATACCTACTGTATCTTACTCCCTCGTTCTAGCCCAGATACAATGCAAATCCAATGCAAAAATATTATGAGATTTCTTTTATAAAAATAAGAGAAAAAAAATTTCCAAAACAGTGTTTTTTTTTAATAAAAAAATACTTTTAATATTACTAAATTGTTTGAAAGATGCGAAAAAAGATACAAAAAAGCTATATATTTAATAAATGTTTTATCTAAAAAAATAACGGAACTAAGTTTCAATACAGACGGGAAGGGGATTAAATGAGTTAGAGGCTCTAACTCATTTAACCCCTTCTCTAACTTAGAGCTCGAGCCCTCTTAAGTACCTAACCACAATAAAAGTCTTAAAGAAACATTAAAATTGCATATATACAGCAAAATTAGTGGTAAGTGCAGGTCAAATTAGTGTACCTGTTCTTCAGTCTTAATAGAAACATTAAACTAGTGCCTCAAAAAGCACTCTCAACAAGTGAATAAAGGGATAAAGTCCATACACGGAAGTAATAAGGTGACAAGGGATAGCATTCCTGGTGGACTAACCACAGGTCAAGGAATTGAACCTATGTAAAGAAGAAACAAGTCTAACCCAGAGTGGAAGGGGCCATCATCTGCAAAATCTGATTAAGTATTAAGTAACCTAATACGCAAATTTGAAACAAAAACCAATAATCAATTATTATTACCGAAAACGGCTTAACACTGTAAATAAAAACTTACGGAGATATTATTATTATTATTATTATCACTTACAGAGTAGAGGATAAAATCCTATAAACTCAAATTTTAAATGCATACATGAATACAATTTATAATAACAGAATGATATTTAAAAAAGAGGAAATAAAAAGAAAAGTAAATTAATTAAGGTATAACTGTTCTTAAATTGATTCACAGTTTTAGTACACACTGTTTCATTAGGTAAACTGTTCCAGTGTTCAAACACACGATTAGTAACAAATGTTTCCCTTGTCTTCGTACAGAAACGTTCTTTAGATAACTTGAACCTGTGTCCACGAAGCCGATTGTCAAGATTAAAGTCAAGTAAAGTTGTTAAGTCAATTCCAAACTGATTGTGGATTATTCGCCAAATTATAATAAGATCTCCTCGCAGCCTTCTCTCTTCAAATGACGTTAACCCCATTACGTGCATCCTTTCTTCATACGAAGGTCTGTTGAATCCGTATGGGAGCCTTGTGGATTTTCGTTGTATGGATTCCAATAAGTTTTTATCACGCTGAAGAATCGGGGACCAGACAGGCCCTGCATATTCTAATATTGGTCGTATATATGTTTTATAGATTTGGTATGCAGTTTGTGGGTTAGGTTTAGTGAAAATTTTGTGTATCATACTTATTAGTGCGTTTGCTTTTCTGCAGGAGGATTCAATGTGTTTAGACCATGTTAAATCGCTGCTTATCCATACTCCTAAATCAAGGTGAGATTCCACTGTTTTTAAAGCATTGTGGTTTATGTGGTAAGTCAGCTTTGGATTTGTTTTCCCTATATGCATAATAACACACTTGTCGATATTAAGTGGTAGTTGCCAGTTGTTGCACCAGTGCTCAATTGGTATTAAGTCATTTTGTAGGATATCCTGGCTGGTAGTTGGGTTTCCATACAACTTTGCGTCATCAGCGAAAAATGAACATTTTGATCTTAACATGGGTGATAGGTCCGCCGTGTACAAGAGAAAAAGTATCGGGCCCAAAACTGACCCTTGGGGTACACCACTAATAACAGAAAGGAAATCAGACACCCCTTCACCAATTTTAACACAAAATCTGCGGTTTCTTAGAAAGCTGCAAATCCAAGCATGTAGTTTTCCTGTAATACCCATGTGTTCTAATTTGAAAGCTAATCTAGTATGGGGAACTCTGTCAAACGCTTTCGAGAAATCCAAATAGATTATGTCGGTCGGACTGTTTTTGTCTTTATTGAGGGTCCAGTCATTTACACAATGTAACAAGTTCGTTATGGTAGAACGTTTTGGAAGAAAACCGTGTTGACAGTACGGTAGTACCGAGGGTAGTACTCTTTTTTCCAACAAAAAAGGTGTCAGTTTTTCAACAATTATTGATTCCATGACTTTTGCAGCAATAACAACTAAACTTACAGGTCTATAATTATTGGCATCCAACTTATCGCCCTTTTTAAAAATAGGGGTTACTAGAGCTGTTTTCCACATAGCTGGTAATTCAGATGTATTAATTTTTGATAATGGAACACTTAGTTGATCAGAGAATTGTTTAAGGAAGTTTGAGTTTAAATTATCTGGTCCGGGGGCTTTGTTGTTCTTTAATAGCCCAAGATGTTATTTTACATTTTCAATGCTAAAGTCTATAGTAGCCAGAGACGAGTTATTTTTCGATGTTGATATTTTCGGCATATGTGTGTTTAATTCTGCAGTGTAGGAGGAAAAGAAAAAATTTGCGAGGGTATTTGCTACCTCCAGATTATTTGAACAAATGTTTCCATCTTCTTTTCTAATTAAAGGAATTGTTACTTTGGAATTTACACCATTTCGAATATACTAAATAACATTTTTTTGGGTTTCCAGATGAAATAAGTGTCCGCTCGTATAGTGTCCTGGCCAATTTGATTTTTAGAGATAAATTGTTTGAAAAGATTCTGTGGGCTATGAAATCTTCATTTGCTGAGCTTTTGCCATAAAGATTTTTTTCTTCGAATTTCTTTTAAAACATCGCATGAAATCCAAGGTTTTTCTGGAACCACTTTGGTAAATATTTTTTTGGTATTTAGTTTTAATATATTTTTGACTTCTCTTTCAAAATTGCTCCACTGTACATTTACAGAAAAATTTTCAAGAAAGGTATTCCATTCCAACGTTGTTAGTGTTTGTCCCACTCTTGATAGTTTATTTTTTCTTTTTCCACCCATACGTATTTTTTGTGAGGTTGGTGGTTAATTTGAATGTTTGTCGAGATAAGAACATGATCAGAAATTCCTACTGGGGGAAGATATGATATATCTTCCTCCCGTAAAAGCTGAATAATACGAAAACCGTAAGCCTAAGAACGCTTTTCCTTTCTCCCGTAGAAGTTTTGAAGTTTTATCTTTTACCGTAAATGTATCATGTCAAACCAATCACAATGCTTGCTATAGACATGTATTATTATGAAGAATAGGACCTTTTTACCTACTTATAGGGATGATACAAGAAAACAAGGTATGTTCTTCAGTAGGACGAATTTTTCGTTTACTTTGCCCATCATCCATCCGCCGCCATCTTAGTTTATTCCCGAATTTAAATGATGTATTAAATTTAAATATAAAAATATTCGATTTTTAGAATAATTTGAAGATTACACGTAAAAACCAATTTAAGTCACAATATTAACATTTTAAGAAAATATTATTAACGAAAAAACACTATTTTATATGTTTTTAATGAAATAAAATATATTGTTTTAAAGTAAATAATATTGTTTTAAGGCCGAGTCAATCCATATGAAAACGCCGAAACTCGTTGCTCGACCATCTTGGATTTTGATCAAATTTTATAGAAATATTCATTAGGGTCCCAAAGGACAAAATCCACCCATATTTATTTTTTTGCATGTGTCAACTCCGGCCTAATCGAATTAAAACTTCTTAAAAACGTCATTTTTATGCTTTAATAATTTAAACTGTAATTTTTTTTCTATTAAAGATATTTTAAATTTTAAGATGTCATTTTAAAGCTAAAAAATATTAGTTTTTATAAAAAAAATATAAATATTTCTAATTAATTACACTGTGCTGAAAAAACGTGTATTTTACTAATTTAACAAAACCAAACTACCAGGCATTTGAACATCAAGGTAGGGTAGGCAGTTTTAGTGATTTTTTACACTTTTCAAAGCTTTCAAACATACGAATTTTTGAATTAAAAAAAATAATCCTGGTATAGATTCTTTGGGAAATTTTATGCTCTACAAGAATCCGCGACGTAAAAAATTTTATCTCAAACGGTTCAAAATTTATAGTCTTTTTAATGAAAAAAGATTTTTTTACGTGTTATTTTAATGGAAAACTTAGAATGCTCACCGACACCTTTTAAAATTGAGCAAAAAATTTTGCCTTGCAGGGAAATTTTTTGCTCGGTATGTAGGTTCATTTTAACCCATAAATCCGATAGGTTAGTTTTTTTGGCTCACCCTAATATATATGTTAGCCGCATTTTATGCTATTGGATTGTTCCAAAAAGGGATTTACTGGTAATCAAAAGTTCTACAAAAATGCTTTACGTGCCATAGCTGTAATCTACACCTGTAGGATGGTACGGGTCAATAAATCTGATTTTAGTGAACAAACTTGTGGGAAATTTAATTTTCTTCAAAAAAGGTCTTATCAGTTGAATCGCTAAGATTGATATTTGTTGACAACTCATAATCAAAAGTTCTACAAAAATGCTTTATGTCCATAGCTGTAATCTGCACCTGTAGGATGGTACGGGTCACTATATCTGATTTTAGTGAAAAATTCGCATATTTTTGAAGATATTTCAAAAGTGACTGATTTCATCGAAAAAATGTAAAGAACAAACTTGTAGAAAATTTAATTTTCTTTAAAAAAGGTCTTATTAGTTGAATCGCTAAGATTGATATTTGTTGAGATATAAAACGTTTACATTGACATTTTATGAAATTTTTCAGGATTTTCGTACCAAACTTTTTATAAATGATAATTTTCAATTGTTTATCAGTATAATTTTA